GACAAACACTTGCCTGGGCTCACCTTCTGTTGGCCCCTGCTTGTTAGAGAGGCATAGAGGGTTGGTTGGATGCTTGATAATCCAAAAATAAAGAGGGCAGAGTCCTTGCTCTTTTAGGAGCATGTAACCAGTGGTGGAGGTAGGTGCAGACAAAAATCATCCTTGGAAGAATTCCATGAAAAGAAGGATATGATGGAGCTACTATAAATTCAAGCTGAGACAATGGGGTTGAAGTGTATTAATTCCAAATGCATCCTGGTGGAGATAGTTAAAAGAAATTCTCTACAAGAGCCAGCAGCACATAGCTGATGGAGGGCCTTATTTAAACTCCAGCCACGGGCATGGTCTCCCTTAATCATAACTGATTGGAGCACAAGAAAGCATTGCAATTAAAATTCATATTTCTGAGCTCTTGGGAATGATTAATTTTGCTGAGTTGTTGAATTCAGTAGTTCATCCTTGGTTTAATCATCTGATATTAGTACAGCAGAGTGATTAAAAACCAAAGACCCTTGAGTCAGACCACCTGTGTTAGGATTTCAGCTCTGCCCTGTGCCTCCTGTATGACTTATGCCACATAATTTAACCTCCTTAGCCTTGGCTTTCTTATCTATAAAACTGGGATAAGAAACTATATTTGATAGGGTTTTGTGAGAATTAAATGGGTTAATGCATGTCATGTGTCTAGAATAATGCCTGACACCTAATAAGGCTCTTGTTAATTGTCATATTTTATCAGTATTTATTTGTCATACCTTATAGAATTCATTTATTCTTTCCAGCAATGTATAATAGGCACTGATGATTTTATTTTTGTAAAAATCACTTTTGTAATTATGATGCTTTGTTTTATATAGTAACTCAGTCCCAATAAATCCCTCCATCTTTTTATTCTGTTATTAACATGTTACTAGATTTGTCATTTTCATATGATTTCTAGAGATGCCTTAAAAATCATTCTAGAGTTCTGAAGAGGGAAAAGCCTTTGATGGACTATCTTTCTTTCCTTTAGTTAAAAAATTTTTTACTCTATTACTGCAGACTCTGGCTATTCATTTTATTTCCTTCCTATGCTGTTAAATTTTCCTGATTTTTAAAAAATAAGAATAAATGCACCTCTTACAAAACACACAAATCCCTCAAATTCCTCTGCTGATAACATACTTTTCTCATGTTTTCCTTGGTCATGTGCAGTTTTGATTTCCCTCAGCACCTTGAGTGTGAGGGATGGATGGCAATGCCTGGAATCTTATGACCTAGGTTAAGAGGCCGCAGGAGGCATGAGCAGACATGAGTCACCATCAAGCAATTGTATTGCAACTACCTGCACCACCTCACTGTGCAGTAGCCCCTTGGCAGTCAACTTCATGTGGGCAACGTAAATGTCATTCTTCTCCCCTGGCATAAAATAACCACATTTTTAGAAAATATTTTTTGGAGAAGAGATAGGATTTAGAGATTAGAATTATTTATCCCAGAGACAATTACTATGGAAGGCTTCAAGTTTATGAGGGGTTGTTATGCAGAGAATAGGAACCAGCTGTTCCCCATTTCTAAGGAATCCCGAAGAGAGGGCTACCCTTCAGCATGAAGTAATTAGGTTGGGTATGAAGAGGAATTCCTGATGGTGAGAGTGAAATGCTGCAAGGAACCTCTTAGAGGAATACCTTAAAATCTGAAAGAACTCCAAATATAGACCGAGTCTCCTGGAAAACTCTCCACATTTGAAATCTATAAACACTTTGTACTTTTATGAAATGTAAAATTATGTATCTACATTCCTCATCAGGCATCCCTAGCATCTTCAGTGATTGCATGTTCGTGGTGATGTGTTTTGTATGCATTTCCTACAGATGGTATGAAATTCGTACTTTGTCTGTTCATATGGTTCTAGTGATGCAGTCTGGGGAAGTAGAGTCATGTTGGCTGTGAAGTCAACTATTCCTGGGCAGGCATCCCGGCTCTGCTATTTTGATTCTGAGATATCTCTCTCGATATTTAGTTTTCTATAATAAAGGAGAATAATTAAGGAATAAACCAGTCAGTATATCTGGGGCACAAATACAATGCTAGCACATATTAGTTAAGATACTTAAGAGTATATCATTTATATATGTATACATGCATTAAATAGGAGTACTTTGTAGGAAAGAACTCCAACATATGGGATACAAAATTCCCTGAGCAGACACATAAGTATATAGTATCTTACATTAAAATCTTTGTCCTACAAAAAGTGTCACTGCATGATTCATTTTAAAAGCAAAATACCACCTGGAAATTTAAAAATTCTCTCAAACAATTCATTGGTCAAAGAGAAGAATCAAAAGTAAACTGTCAGAATGTCTACAAAATGTCATTAATTAAAAATTATGTGTCCAACCCAGGGGATATAGTTAAAACTGTGTGTGGAAGAATAGTATATAATCTTAAATGTTTTCATGGGTGAACAAGAATAAATAAATTAAGTACCACATTTAAAAAATTAGACAAAGAACAAGGTGATACACCTAAGAAAAGTTGAAGAAAAGAACAACTAAATTAAAAGCAAAAATTAATGAAATATAAAACAGGAAAACCAGAAACCTGAAAAATAAATTCAAAGGCTGGTTCTCTGAAGAACTAGTTAAAAGGAGAAAAACACAATTATAGAAAATAAGAAATGATATGGGGAAATGACCACAGATACAGAGGAAAATGAAATAGTTGACTTATTTAACCAAATACTGACGTGAAGTGGAATAATTTTTTAGGGAAAGGTAAATTGCTAAAACCATCCTCAGAAGAAGGCCACTTACTATATTCAGAGACCATTTACTGCAAAAGAAACATAATAATATAATATTGTTAAAAGCACTAATGCTTTCTTAATGAAAGCATTGCTCTAACTGATGCAATTATAAATGTAGGGGGAAGAAAAGAGAGAGAGAGATTGGAAAAGAGGTAAAATTATTGTTTGTAGGGGATGATTTGTATATCCAAACCTAAGAAAATCAACTGAAAAATTCCTATTGACCATATGCAAGTTTGGTAAGTTGCTTGCATACAAATTCATATAAAAAAGTTTAGTGCGGAAAAATATATTTATGTAACAACCACTAAATATTTTTAAAAAGTAATAAACTTAAGAAGAAATGTGCAAGAAATCTTGACTAAATGGAAAAGCATCTTGTGTTCTTGAAAGGATGGATTGAATATTATAACATCTCACATATACCTAAATTAATCCCTATACTTAATTCAGCTTGATTAAAAATAACATCAGTTTTTCCTTTTCTTTTACTTTCATTTTTTGTTTTGGAATGAAGTTAAGTGATTTGAAAATTCAAGAAAAGATTTAACATTCCAGGATGGTAAAAATAATTCTGAAAATAGTAATAAAGGGGGACAAGATGTGGATTTTTTTTATTAAGGTATCATTGATATACAATTTTATGAAGGTTTCACATGAGCAACATTACGGTTACTACATTCACCCATATAATCAAGTTCCCTACCCCAACACCTCTTTGCAGTCACTGTCCATCAGCGTAGCGAGGTGCTATAGAGTCACTACTTCTCTTCTTTGTGCTGTACTGCCTTCCCTGTGACCCCCCTACATTACAAGACATGCGGATTTTTAAACATATTTTTAAACTGGTCTATTTAAAACATATTGTTCCTAGGGTGTGAAAAGACAGATCACTGATAAAAGCTAGCAAGTCAAGAAACAGACTCAATTCTATATCTCACCAGGAGTTTGGGTTGCATGGGTGTATGCACTTGTCAAAACTCTGCATACAGTTAAGATCTGTGCATTTAACTTCATAAAAAGTTTATGTTAAAAGAAAAGTCTATTGATATGTATTAGACTCTAGTTCAGTGACATTCATGCTGAAATATTCAGAGGGAAGTGTGCTGACATCACAATTTATTTTGAAACAAATCAGAAAATCAGAAAACTCAGAAAAATAAGATGGACTGGTGATGTCTGTGGGGGGGGTGCATATATGGGAAACTGTGTAATTATGTAAAATTATCTTAACATTGCTGTATGTTGAAATCTCTTAATAAAGTATTTGAAAAATAGATTAAAAGCACAGAGAAATACAATAAAGATAAAAGTGCAAATATTTAGGTTATAACTTCATAGAATTAAAAATTTTGCTCCTATTAGAATAGTTTCAGGAACCAGAATGCCAGGTCAGGGGAGCAAGGATTGGGTGTAGAGAACAGGGTTTCAGGTCACAGAAGGGTCACAAGTGCAGTCACTGTACCAGAGGGCATGTTGTACAGGCCAAGGGTGTCTCTGTTCTTCAAGCATGGTGATTATTCACTCTTCTGAATTTTGTGTTTAGGTGTTCCTTTATATCTAAAAGCTTTAGGCTTTAGAATGATTTATTCAGGAGTTCTGAGTAATTTATAAAGTGCTATCATTTAACTATTTGTCTTTGGTGATTTGTTGCTACTCAACACTATATTTATACTTCACAAAGATGTGTGGAGTGGGTGTTGGAGGAGTATCATTATTCTGTTTTACTGTAAACAGGGTTTTGAAAAATTGGGGACTCAGCCCAGCTCCCAGCAGGAGTAACTTTGCCAGCACGAGGAGAGAACCAGCCAGCTCTCTCAGCCTTAAAGATGCACTTAGACTCTGATGGGTAAATTTGGGGCTTCTTTTATTTGGAGTGTGAGGGTGTGAGAGGGGGTATATGTTTTGGTGGTGAAAGGCAAATACTGGAAATTCAATTCCGCAGATTTGAGAGCTCTCAGGGAGTGGAGAGTGTTAAAGAAAACAGTTTATAGAATATGTTTACATCTGAATATATTTCTTCAGCATATATACTTTGTTAAAAATATCATCTTTGATGTCACCCTTTTGTGTCTTGAAAAATTGCCATTTGAAATATGGAAATGCTATTGCATAGTTTCTGTGAAGAACCCTGTCTTTTGGTTTAAATTTACTTCATTGACAACATCGTGGGCTTTTTCAACCCTGTGCCCTCTTGTTTCCCCATCAGAAACAAGCACTGGAAAGCTTTCAAGGATGGAGGTCACCCAGCTCTTACACATCGTTCCCACTGGACATTATTTCCATGAGGTGTGAGTATATAATTAGAAGAGGGTCAGCAAATAAGATTTTAAGAAATGTAATTATATAAGCAGAAAAGTAATTTCAGGCAAGTTTGTAAAATGTGGGTGTTTAGGAAAGGAGCAGTTCCAGCTGCTTTAAACCACATCCTCAGTTCCAGCTGCCTTAAAACCCTTTTCAGAAACTCACAAAGCTCTACCTCATGTGCATTTACTTAGCAACTCTGTGCTTGGTGCATTACATATCTTGCCACTTAATACTCACCACAACCCTAGAAATTAGGCCTTATCTCCATTTTATAGATAAAGAAACCGAGGCCAAGAGAGTTAAGTCATGTTAAAGCATGTTTTCAAAAAATAAAATAAGGGCTCTCAGGCAAATAGAAGAAGGACATGTATCAAATATTTTATTGAATTCCTTAACTAAGGAGGGAAAAAGATGTCATGATCAGTTCAAAGAGCATTTAAGAAGCTAGTGTATTTAACAGCAACTTAAATGTTAGAATGCGATTGCTGAGTTAAATACAGATCTGGTTAATGGCTAGCAGGCAACAGATATTTGGGGTTATCTGCTCCATTGGGTGGAAATTGTTTGCATCCCTACCAAACAAAAATATGCAATCTAGCAAGTGAATTCCCTAAGTATGTGAACTTTAATCAGTAATATAAATGAGATGAACTAAGTATAGACCTCAACAATGCTTGAGTGACCATTGTCCCTACAAGATACTGAAAGGATCTGCTCCCACCTTTCTGTTTTATTTCCAGGTTGTGCGTTTTTTCTGACTTGCCCTCAGGTGCCACAAATATTAGCAGAGCTGAGGTGCAAACCCCTGACTGCACAGCCCTGTATTCAACTCTTTGCTATGATTATAAGATGTTAGTTTTTTATTTTTATTTTTTATTTTAACAATGTTGGAATCTATCAGATCTGTGCAGCCAATTCTCTCTCACAGCCAAGGCATCTCTGAAATACAAGGATTCTCTGGGTGGTGAAACCATCCAACTGGGTCAATAAATATTAATCTGAAGTAGTAACACCTTTTGTTTCTGCGTTAGTGCAGATTTCTGAGGACAATTACAAACATGAGCACTGCTATGAAAACATAACACTGAAACATCACTTTATTTTTACCTCTGTCCTCATCTATATTAAAACATTTGAGAAACAAGAAAGACTTTGGCTGAAAGAATATTCTATAAACTGTGTGGCAAAGTCAGGACGCTGGTAGCAGTAGCTTGAAGTTGAGGGAATATCTCTTGGGATGAGAAGTGGATACACAGATGCCCACATTTGGGCACTCCTCTGCCAGACTTTTTTTTTTCAACTTCTTTTCAATGCTAGGGATAGGGGTCTCCAAACTGGGTTGCATAAAAAGGATGTCATACGCAATCACTGAACATATCATGTTATGTGTCATATAAAATCACTGAACACATCATGTTATGTGTCATACATAATCACTGAACATGTCACCATGACACCATGTCACCGTGATGAGGTCATGGAGACCAGGAAAGCTGGTGGTCACCAGGAAGGTGCCAGACTCGGGGTCAGGGGGCTGACTCTGAAGGTAGAAAAGTCACCCCATCTTCCTATGCTTTAGTTTGATTTCTTCTATGTATGTGTGGATGGACTAGGTGGGAGGTTTCCAAACTGTTAAAGCACCACAACTAATAACAGATGAGAGAAACACTGGTTAAAGGGAGTAAGGAGAGAAAGCCCTATGGAAGGTCCTGCCTTCTTGCTACCGCATCTCTTCCTTCCCTTATGGAAAAATCCAGGGCTGGCTACAAAATTTGCAGGGCCCAAGCAAGGTGTAGCTTCAAAAATGCTATTAAAAAAAATAGCAAAAAAAGTGACATTAAATATGCTAAAATAGAAAGCTTCTTCCTTTAAAAATATTTGGTGACTTATAAAATGTAGCAGGTATAGTCATGATACATGGGTAATGACAAACTTACATATTGCAGAAAATATTTTTGGTGTCATTGTCTTATGTAATACAATGTATAAAAATAATTTTTTATCTTGATTGTTCCTAAGATGTCTCGTTGGCTCACTTTTCTGCAAGTTATATATAGTACATTGGCAAATTTATATTTTTGACAAATTCATTTTATAATTGAAAGTAATAGCAGTCACTCATTGCAAATGCAAGATAGCAATAAATTTTTGATAATTTTTAAGTTTAAGAAGATTTTTTTGCTGATATACCTGTTACTGGAGAGCTATTAAGACCATTTTCTAGGTGGTAAAATATTAGGATAAATTTCTGAAAATTTATATCAAAATGTAAATTTTAGTACATTTAGAGCTGATCATTCTTGTGTAACAATTTTTCTAGAAAAAGATTTAACCCTCCATACAAATCTGTCTTGTGTTAAGTCTGATTTTAATTTTAAATTTATACAATGGCATTTTGATATTTCTTCTGACATTTTCTGTAACTTGTGGAGGTCGTACAGGAAGTCAAAGGTAGCTTCATGATTTGTATATAATTCAAAATGTTTGTTATGCCTTCTATTGCTCTATTTTCAACTATAAGGAAAAAATTAAGTTAAACATTGTCTACTTAATACTTGCTCATCCAAAGTTTCATATGACAATAGTGTTATTTTCTAAGCCTGTGGATATTTTGTTTTGCAAGGTTGCAGCAGTTTTAAAACTAGACATTCTCTCGTTGGCTGCTGAAATGGTGCCTCTTCATCAGCAACTTCTGTCTAGGAATGCTGGCGGCTGTCACTACCACCATTCTGAGTCCGGGTCCCAGCCTGGCTCCACAACCCCGCTCCCCGCGGCTCTGGAATGTCGCAGCCTCTGATAGGCACTCAGGGCGCTCTGCTGTGCGTCCGCTATTTGTAGTCATCGCAGCCTGAGCCTGCACCTGGACTGGCTGCCGCAGGACCATTACAGAGCGCGCTCACTGCCTCCAGGGCCCGCCTCTGCTTCTGTGCATGCTCCATCAACTCTGAAGAAACCGAAATTCAGAGATATAATTATTAAGAACTTCAAGAGACTGAAAGCAGGGGATCCTTCTCAGCATGAAGCCCTAAATAACTGTGCAGGTCATTTAGGAACTCAAGAAGCTGATTCTGGAAAGGACTCTCAGGATTCTGTAAATGCACATGACTTTGTGATTTCACTTAAGCGACTCTGTCAGACTCATCTTCCTGTATCATGAAAGCTATTTTTCTGATATATTTTTCAAGGAATCAATATTTAATGTTTGGGTAGATGAGAATAAGCCTACAAGACTAAGAATGACCAGTTGGAAATGGGAAAAGATGCCACAGAAGCCAAGAGAAGAAAGAATTTCAAGAAACATAAAGTAACCAGTAGAGTCAAGTGACACCAAGATGTCATCAGTAAGATCAGGATTGAAAAATTTCCAAATAGATATAACATGATATTAGAAATAATTTATTTCAAAGGAGAAATGCAGGCTGAAGCCAAATCAGAAGTGCATCGATAACAAGTGGAGTTGAAAAATGCTCTCCAGCAATCTCCCTTACGCTGTTGCCTGAGGATCAGTCACTATGGTCCCTCTAAGACGACCCTCAGGAATGACTGTGGGTGCATGGGCACACGTGTGTGGTGGGGTGGGCATCTGGTTCTTTGTAGATGTTGCTTTCATTGCTCTTCATCCCTACTTATCATGGTTTAATGATAATAACTACCATGTACTGGGAACCTACAACATGTTAGAGATACCCTGTTATCTCTAATTCTGTAACAGTCCTAATAAGGCATTCCTCTCATTTTGCAAATAAAGAAATATACTCTGAGTACATGTGACTTGCTTGAGTTCACACAGCTGTTACCAGAGCTGGCATTCAGGCTTGAGCCCAAGTGCCTGCCTCTCTGCTCTCAGTGCTGCTTTCTGTTCTGAGCCGCCCTGTCTGTTCTGAGACATGTGAGGAGTTCCAGGGAAAGTCACGTGGGCTATAATCCTTTGTTACCTCTTATTCACTAGTCTCAATATACTTCACATTTTGGACACCTCAGATTAGATAAACCTTGCTCAATACATTAGACTGCAATTTGCTGAATCCTTTGATTGGACTTAGAACAAATAAATTTCTCTACATAGCAGTTTCATCAACAAAAGTTGATAAAATGGGTAGGCATCCCACCCATCAAAGCCACATTCGTTGGACCCCTCAGAGATGCACCACCCTACTCTCAAGGTATCTTGCCCCATATACCCTCTTCTTGAGTATTCAAGCACTGCCCTGGTTTGCTTCCCTATTAACTCTTATCTGGATTATTACAATAGCCTCTTAACAAGTCTCTCTGCATCTTTCCTTGCTGCCAATCACAGTAGCCAGAATGAACTTTAAAATTGTAGGTCAGATCATGTTACTTATCTCTCACAAACCTTCCATGGCTCTGTTTTCTTCAGAGAAAAATACGGCATTCGAACAATGGCTGATAAAGCCCTCCTTACTCACTTGTCTGACCTCTTCCCTTCCTGCTCTCCTCCTTGCTTAACTGTGCTGGGACCACATTAAATCATTGCTTTTCTAAAATTGTGCTAGAAAAAGCCAGTTTTAGGATCAGCCTAATTACTAACTTTAATTGGCCCTACTTTTTTTTTCTCTTTTCATAGCACTTACCACCTTTCTGAATATAATTGGGTGGGTAGGGATCTCTGTTTGTTCATGTATCTCAAGTGCCTAGAATGGTGTCTAGCATATAGCAGGTGCTCAGTAAACACTTCTTTTAAAAACAGAACTTTTCAACTTTATTACTATTTGCCTGGCATTTCTCAAAGTCCTGTTAGGACTCCCTCCCCTTTTTTGCCTTGGGGGCCTGGAGGTGCTTCTCTAGAACTTTCTTGTTTTAAGAACTAATTGAATCTAAAAAAAATTGAGATATAATTCACATACCATAAAATTCACTGTTTTAAAATGTACAATTCAGTGGTTTAAGTATATTCACAAGATTGTGCAACCATCGCAAACTAATCAAGAGCATCTTCATCACTGTGCAGAAAGACTCCACACTGCTTAGCAGTCACTCCCCATGCCCACCTCCCCCAGCCCCTGGCAACCATAATCTACTTTCTGTCTCTATGGATTTGTCTGTTCTGGACATTTCATATCAATGGAATCACACAATACAATATGGCTTTTTTCATTTAGCGTAATTTTTTCAAGGTTCAACCATGTTGTACCACATACCAGAACTTCATTCCTTTTTATGGCTGAATAATATTTACATTGTATGAATATACAACATTTAGTTTATCCTTTAATCAGTTTTCACTTTTTCTCTATTATGAATAATGCTGCTATGAACGTTTGTATACAAGTTTTGTCTGAACATCTGTTTTCAATTCTCTTGGGTAGACACATAAGAATAGAATTACTGTCTAATAAGGTAAAATTCTATATTTAACATTCTGAGGAATTGCAAAACTGTTTTTCAAAGTGGCTATACCATTTTACATCCTCCCAGCATTGTATGAGGGTTCTGATTTCTCCACATCTTTGACAACATTTGTTACTGGCTGTCTTTCTTATTATAGCCATCTTAGTGAGGGTGAAGTTGTATCTCATGGTTTTGATTTGCATTTCCCTAATGACTAATGATTTGAGTATATTTTCATGTGCTTATTGGTCACTTGTGTATCTTCTTTGGATAAATGTCTATTCAAATTCTTGGCTTGTTTCTACATTGGGTTGCCTTTTTATTGTTGAGTTTTAAGGGTTTTTAAAAATACTGTGGGTACTAAATGCTGATCAGTTATATGATTTGCAAAAAGGTTTTCCTATTCTGTAGATTGCCTTCTTAAAATCTTGATGAAGGCCAATTTATCTATATTTTCTTTGATTGCTTGTACTTTAGGTGTATCTAATAAACTATTGCCTGCTTTACCTTTATGTTTCTTCTGATTTTATAGTTTTAGCTCATATTTATATCTTTGATGCATGTTGAATTAATTTTTATATATGGTATGAGGTAGTGGTCCACCCTCATTTCTTTTGCATGTGGGAAACTATTTGTCCTAGTGTCATATGTTGAAAAGTCTATTCTTTTCCTAAGATATTGTCTTGGCACCTTTATGCCTGTACCACATATTCTTGATTACTGTAGCTTTGTAGTAAGTTTTGAAATCAGTAAGTGTGAATCCTCCAACTTTCTTTTTCCTCTTCAAGATTGTTTGGATTATCAAGGGCCCCTTGCAGTTCCAAATGAGTTTTAATATCATGTTTTCCATTTCTGCAAAAAAAAAAAGCCATTGGTATTTTGATTTGAATACACTGAATTTGTAGATTGCTTGGGTAGTATTGACATACCTAACCTTCTTGGTATTTCAGTCAACATGGACTGTCTTTCCATTAATTTGGATCTTCTTTAATTTCCTTCAGCAGTGTTAGTTAGTCTTCAATTACAATCCTTTAATCTTTGGTTGAATTTATTCCTAAGTATTTTCCTCCTTTCAATGCTATTGTAAATGTCATTACTTTTCTTAATTTTTGAACTAAACTGTTTACTGTGTAGAAATAGAACTGATTTTTCTGTGTTCATCTTGCAAGCTCACTGAATTTGATTATTAGCTCCAACAATTTTGGGGGAGCATTCTTTAGGATTTTCTCTCTATAGAATCATGTCATCTGCAAATAGAGATAATTTAATCTCTTCTTTTCCAATGAAAATAGATGCCTTTACTTAGTTTTCTTGCCTAATTCTCCTCGCTACAACCTCCAGTACAACACTGAATCATAGTGTGAGAGAGGACATCCTTGTTTTGTTCATGATGCCAGGGTGGAAGCCTCTATTCTTGCGCCATTAAGGAAGACAATAGCTATGGAATTTTTGTAGAATCACTTTATGAGGTTGAGGAAATTCCCTTTTATTTCTAATTGACTGTTTTTACCTTGAAATGGTGTTGGCTTTTGTGAAATGCCTTTTCTGTATCTTCTGAGATGATATGTGGGTTTTGTTTTTTATTTTATTAATATTGGGTATTACATTAATTGGTATTTCAATGTTGTGTTGACTTTGCATTCCTGGGATAAATCCACTCAGTCATGGCATGTATTTTTTATATGTTGCTGGATTTGGTTTTTCAGTTTACTGTTGAGAAATTTCCCACTTATATTCATTAGAGAAATTGGTCTATGGCTTTCTTTTTTAAAAATACCTTTGGTTTGTGTATTAGGATGTCACAGGTCTCATAGGATGAATTGAGAAGTTTCCCTCCTCTTCAATTTCTGGGAAGAGTTTTTAAAGTGTCAGTGTTAATCCTTCTTTAATTGTTTGACAGAATTCACTAGCAAAGCCATCAGTTTCTAGGTTTTTCTTTGCGGAACATCTCCTGATTATGACTTCCATCTCTTCACTTGTTACTCTTTAATTTCTATTAAAATTTTCTATTTATTTTTGAGTCAGTTTTGTAGTTTGTGCCTTTATAGGAATTTGTCCACTTAATCTACCATGTTCAAGTCTATCTACTATAATTCCAGACACTGATAGCTAATATGTGAAAGTGAAGAATTCTGATTTATTTTGAATAGTCAAATATTTGAATTTTTTTGTTTAAGTACCTTAGATGAATCTCATGTTACAAGAGCCAAATTTTCAAAGAAGTATATAAAATAGAAATATAAAATGCACCTGAATGGTATGCCCTAAGAGGAAAATGAGAAAATGGTCAAATATAGGCCCTTGGATTTATGAATTTAATGTGAAACAGTCTATTAATGAATAAAACAATTTTCCTGAATAAATATCATAAAAGTTTTTTAAAATTTATGGATAGGATACCGAGGAAATAAGATTCTAGATTGAACACTATTCTGATATTTGGGTAATACATATTCATTGAGTTAGTTTTGCTTTTTCCCCCCTCACTCTTTCTATAGAAAACTAAGAAAAATAAATGATAAGTTATAAAGTAAAATCTCTCCTCAAAAACCCACCTTGATACGATAATGTTAATAATAGCCAATTTCATATCAAAAAAGAGAGCTTAAGATAATTAAAATGGCAATAAGTAAACCTTTTCATGAATTCTATTTTCACCCATTTTAGGGAAATTATTTTACCCTACTATGTATGTTTGTTTGTTCTTTGGAGGGTAATTCACTGTTTCTTTTGAATATCTTTCTTTTTCTTGCCTTAAGATAGTGTTCATTTGAACCTATGCAATTAAAAATTTCAGTATTCAAATGAGCTTAATCACCATTTTTTTCTTTTCTCTACCTCTCTCTCTTTCTTGCCCTCAATTAACCTTTGTTCAATATGTAACTATTTAATATTGAAAAAAATACTTGACTTTACCAGGGACTTTGTTATATAGATAGTTCATATTCTGTTTTCTTACCTGGTATAGCCAGGCTTTTTTTTTTCAATAGTAAATTGTACATAGGGAAATAAAGAGAGCAATAACAATTTGGCTTAAATGACAAGTGTGCAATAAACTTAACAGCTTTTGGTGGCACACTCTAATCTATAAGTATATGACTTGCGGTCGAAAATAACATGTTCTTCTTTCTTATGTGGGTGGTAGCATGCTGAATTAATATAACAGCAAGGAGTTCAGTGTGGGTGAAGAATCAGTGCAAATGGGAAAGTAGAGAGATGAGGCCTTTTATGTGTCTTAACCAGGAGTTCATACCTTTCTTTATTCTCTAGGAGATCCATTGGTGGATTTTGATCAGTGATGAGACATGGTCATTTGCAGGGAAACATCACTCTTGGAGTGCTATGGGGATGCAATCGGACAGACAAGTCTTATCTTATAGAGGAGGACACTGTTATTGTTTGGTGGATTTTTTGGGAAGTTGGCCACAGGGTCATTTTGCAAAACTTTTCCACACAGATCCCCAAATTAAAGTTATTCCAAAAAACTGAGAATATAGAGCATAGTCTACATCATGATACATAAATTAGGTTGGACTTTAGAAATGGAGTGTCCTATTTTTATAATTGCTAATAAAAGCAACAAGCTTGTGACTGAGTTCTGAAAATTCTAGGTAATACCATAGCCTTAATTGTTTTAATTTCTAGTACATTTATATGAAAATTTTCTGTTTTTGGAATGGTTCATAGGCAGGGACACCATTTAATTTATTGTATCTTTTGTATGCTGTTAGGTAGTAAAGGACTGTCTTCATTTCACGTAGCTTCTTCAGTTCATATTTAGGATGCTTGTTCTATGGGTAGGAATTCCTATCCTCATTTTAAAGTTGAAGAGACTGATGCCCAGCTTGAGCAATTTGGCCTTCATTACAGAAATAGCAGAGTTGGAATTTGAAGTCAAGTCTCTCCAACTCAGGGTCCTTTCTTTCCAACATATCACCCTCCCTCTTTCTTAGAACTTGTCTAACTGTGATGGTATTTTCCCTCTGTATACCCCCTTCACCATATATTTTCTTCATGTTTTTGTCTGAAGGCATTGGGTGAATTAAAAATCTGCTGTCTCTGGGTTGCAATAACACAGCTTGGTTAATTATTTAGGTCATGTAGCCCCTTGTTTCCTCCATAAAGAAGAGCCAGAGTTCTTTCTGATGCCTTACATCACCCTGCAGACAATTGGCAGCCAGGAGAGGGGCAGCTGCCACACTCTTCAGATCTCTCGCTATTTAAAGTTCGAAGAGACACTGGATAACAATAACGAAGACGTAAGCGTGGCCCTAAACACCTCACCCAACAACAGTAAGAATGGCTGAAAAAGGTAAGTTTGAGGCCTCACACCCTCTTGGCAAAAAAGGCCCAGGCTCCTTCCTTGTTTTCTTTTATGTTCCCCAGCATTTGGTGCTTCTCAGTTATTCTGAAGAATGTGATATCTCTGGCAAGAGAGCATTAATCAATAGTGTGGCTGCAAAAAATGCATTAGATGTACAATTTATGGACCGTGTCTAATGTGTTATGAATTATTTTGAAAGGATCAAACAAACAAAAGAGAATTTGTTCAAACTTGTTTTGAAAGATGAGTTAGAAGTCAATTATTCTCCAGTATTGTACTAAATTTGAGATATTGTGGTGTGCTGGACCAATAAGAACTAAGGATATTTGGATTTTGTGTCAGATCTGTTACTAAATGACCCTGTGAGTTTGGGGAAGTTCTTCTACCTCTCTGAACCTGTTTTCTGACTCTTAAATGAAAATAAACAAAATGGTTTAAGTCATCTCTAATGTGTTTTGTATCTGAATTTCTTTTTTTTCTGGTTTTAAAACATTTTTTATATTTAAGAAAAATGATTGACTCTAATATGACAGAGTGGGCTGAATACATACTGTGTCCAAGAAACAGTTTTTAAAGGCTTACAGGCATTGTCGCTTTTATCCTGACAGCAGTATTATGAGATATGCAGTATTGTCATCATTTCCATCTTATTGGTAAGGAAACTGAGGCATAGCACAGTTTAGAGAGTTGCCTGCAATTACTCTAGAGAGTGACAGCACCAGGTTTTGAACCCAGACAGTCTTAAGGGCACAGGGTCTTCAAAAATACTTACAGGTGTCACTCTTTGGACATGCTGAGAAATGGATAGAGTTAAGCATTTTGAAATAACACTTCATATTTAAAAAGAGGTTTTGTGCTTATTTGTGTTATTAATATTAGTGACATATACAAAGTATGATGTGTTTCTCTATATTCCTATTTCAAAACAATGCTACAGATTATGATAAATCTTAAAATATGAGTGTTGAAAGAGCACCAATGTGATATATGAGTGCTAAAATGCACAGTCAACTGTATTGTTTTGCAAGGAATAATAAATAAGGAGATATATACTTTTAGGGCTTTATTATATGTAAACTTTAGAACTGTATTAAAATATGCTTATATAAATGTTTACAAATGCTCAATTAAAATATCAGTACTAATTTTTAAGTTCTCTGATATTGGGAAAAATACTAAGTCACATATATGAATAGTTCAAAGGAAATTACTGCTATGTCTTTCCACTATAATGGCACCTTAATTCATAAAAAGACTCTCATCCAAATGAGAGTGAAGGGCATATCATAATGTTCACCTTATCCTTAAAGCAATACCATATGGCAGATAAAGAGAAGGGGGTTTTTGTCATTTAGTGAATGCTTTGTTCAGAGTCACAGTAGATGGAGGCAGAAGGAAAGCCCATTGAATTTGCACGAGTTAAGAGAGACTCCAACATTTTGGAAACAGAGATTTAAACTATTAAAATTCATTTTTGTCTTCAGAAAGTTTGCTTTTATAAGAAAGTCTTCTAATTTTAGAAGTGCCTCATTTCCTGATGATTTTATTTTAATAGCATAAAAAAACTTCACATTTTAAAATGATGGGAATTTTAATAGGAATGAAATTGCTAAGAATATGCACTCTCTTTGTTAGATAATGGCATAAAATATAATTGTACTTTTCAATTAAGAATATAACTGAGTCCTTAACATGGGGACATTAATTCTATAAGAAGTTTTTCTGTGCTTTTCTTGAGTCTTTGTGCTTGATGTGTGTGTGTGTGTGTGTGTGTGTGTGTGTGTGTGTGTGTGAAAGAACAAGATTGAGATGCAGTAAATATTTTAAAAAGGTACTTTCATAAATTGCTTTTTACATGTAAGGGTACAAATAGGATCCATAGGAGGAATATAATATTAATGTCTTTTATGTGCATGTTGAATCAGTGTTGGTTGCTGTATTAAACAAGTTTAAAAAATAAAATCTCTTTTCTCTAGACAAGAATGATTGTATGAGGTATAATGCTTTCCTTTCTTTATGATACTTAAAATTAAAGTCAGCTATCGTGGCTTAGGACAATTTTCAACACCTCTCCCTCTGTTAAGATTACTTAGTTTAGTAGGAATTACCTCAGAGTCATTTTCAGTTGTTTCTCTGTAAACAGCTGCTCTCTGTGTTATTGAACAAATGCATGAATGTGTTTTGTATACACTAAACACACACACAAGGTGGTTAGGGTTTACAAAGCCTTTGCACCTAGGACTTATCATTTGATCCTCACAATAACTCTGGGAGTTACATTTCACAAGTTTCATCGTCTCTATTTTACAAATACAGAAGTTCAAGCTCATTACTGCCCAAGGTCACGTAACTGTTAAAAACTGGTTTGAACACAGGTCTTCCATTCCAAATCCCTAGGTTTGTAGAAAAGAAAATAATGGTCATGTTTTATGGGTCTAACAACAGAGTGTATTTTTTTCTCTTAATGTTACCAGATTCTTTTTATACTCTTGATTCAGAAGATTTAATGCCAAAATGGCCTACCTAATCTGTTTTCTTTTGTTTTATTTTCTTGCAGAGTTTATATCATCACGCCTTGTAGTCCCTATTCTCCTCTTGATTGGCTGGATCGTGGGCTGCATAGTAATGGTTTATGTTGTCTTCTCTTAGGAAGGTAAAATTTTCAATACTTGAATATGTTTATTCATAAAGAGCACACATTACACCAGAAATAATCTTTTCTGTTTTACTAATGGAGTATTTTACCGTGCAGGCAAGAAGACTACAGATTGAATCATTTAGAAGAATTAAGAAAAGCATGAACATGACAGACTAAATGTTTCTCATGTAAATGACAGCGATGTTTGACATCACTTTATAAACTCTGATTTGTAAACTGGTACTTTGGTGTGCATGAGGATCTTTTCAGGAACTTATTTAAAATTCTGGGTGCAAATAAGAACTATCAGAAAATATAGATGAAATTTTCTATAACTTGGGAATAGGAAAATGTTCCTAACCATGACTAAAAACACATAAGCAACAGGGAAAAAGTCTGCTAAATTAAATTACATTGAATTTTTTTATCTCTATCCCTTGCTCCCCCCCCAAAAAACTGTAGAAAAAATAAGCTAGAGACAAGAAAAGTTAGTTCACAGAAAACAAAATGTATATGTAGACCTGGCCCTAGCCTCTTGCTCATAACAAGAGAACTGTGATTAAAACTGCCCTGAAGAGTCATTGCTCGCCTATCAGGAGGGAAAAAATGAAGATATTGGACAATGTATGTGTTGGTAAGGCTACAGGCAAGTAAGCACTCTCACATACTGTCTTCAGAAATTCAAAATGGCGTGACACTTCCAGGGGTGTTAGCAGTCAGTATCTACCAAATTATATATGCACTTAACTTTTGACCCAGCTATCCTTCTTTTAAGAATATTGTGATTTCCACAGATACCCTGGTACAAACACAAAATGGCATATGCACAAGTGTATTAATTATGGCACAATTTGTTATAGCAGAACCCTGGAAACAAGCCAAATGTCCATTGGAGACTGCCTGAGTGAACTGTGGTCTATCTACCTACTGGCGTACTTAGGCAGCTATAAACAGGAGTGAAGGGGGCCTCTGTACACTGATGTGACATCATCTCCAGGTCAAAGTGTTAAGTGAAAATCCAGGCACAGGAAAATATATGCCACCTTTCATATAAAAAAGGAAAGTCTATATCAATATACTTGTTCTTATTTCAAGGACTCAATATTCTTTTCTCCAGCACTTTAAGACAGACTATAACATTTTTAAACAGAAATAGAAATGAATTTTTCTAAAATCAGTATTTTATTTTCATGTTTCCACATCCAACCTGATCATTTTCTCAGAGAACAAAGAAAGCTTCGTGCAGTGGAAAGAACAGTGGAAGTCAGATTGTTTCATCCTAACTTGGGAGTTCTTTGAGAAGTTAATCTCTCTAACCTTAGTTTTCTCAGTTATAAGAGGAATAATAATATTTTTATGGGATTGTTGTGAGGGATGCAGTGTCTTCTAAATCTGCCTAATCTGAATCAACTGAGTCATTTGTTAAAAGTACAGATTCTCAAGCTCTTTTTCTGGAAAGTTTATTTAAGTAGGTCTAGAGAAGGCCTATTAATTTCTCAGGTGATTTTTATTATCACAGAAATTTGGAAAACACACCTATAATGTGCATGTATGTATTAGTCTGTGATACATATAAACACTGATCCATGACAGCTTATATTGGTAAATCCCAACTATTTTTCTGTTTATTGCTGTAACAAAATGTTAGCCTTTTATCACAGTATGTTATGTAATGTTACATTATATTTTTACACTACACAAAGTATAATGAATATGTAATATTATCTATCCACTGATATTTTCATATATGTGAGTTTTATTTTTTTCCATTAAACTGAAGCCCCTTATGGGTGAATCTATTTCTCATCTTTCTGACTCATAGACTATAGTTCAAAAGAGACAACCAATAAATCTGTATCAAATGAGTAATTAATTATTTCCTCTTCACATATTCTTGAAAATACATTGTTGATGTTCTAACTTTGAACTTTGAATGTGTCACTGGAATAATTTCAGTTAGGTTGGAATTACCAAAGAAGTGATTAGGTGATCTGGGAACAATAGTTCCACCAGGTGATGGCATCAGATTCCACAAGGCATAGAATCTTACATGTTTTTAAATTTCTAAAATCTTCAGTTTACATAATATCAAAGCACAGATTAATTATTTGAGAAGAAGATTATGATGAGTTAACTGTTCTTACAATTTTTGACCGCATTAATGCCTAGTCTTACAGCAACATATGGGGCACTCTGTGCCCCTCAACCTCCCCAGGACACGTGCCAATGCCAGAACTGAGAAAAACTGCTTTCGCTATCCTTACTAGGACATAAAACAAAAACTTCTTGAAGAAAGCTTTTTATTACTCTCTCTGCCTGGGAAAAGAGATAAATTCCAGCGAGTCCTGAAATGACTAAGGAAACTCTTCATGAGCTGGTAAAGCCTGGTGAGCTGAGCAATTTCCCAGAGGGCAGACTCATGGGGGAGAGATTCCTGGGCCCAGATGTAATGGTTATAAGTAATATCCATCTAAAGGTCATGTAATAAAATAAAATTGCTTTTATTTTTTGAAGAAAGTATTCTCAATTTTTATTTATTTTATTATTATTATTATGTATTTATTATCACTTAGTTTTGCTTTTTGTGTTTTTCAGACATATCTTCCCTCTTTTCCTCTCTTTTCTTTCTTCTTTGGACAAACAGAATAGCTTCTCTCAAAACATAAATATACATTAGCCTAAGATCCCTTTAGAGGAAAGAAAAGAACACCAGAAGCAGAATAATATTATGAGTTGGAAATTTCCTAGAGAATGAGATGGTTGAATGCTTTAGTTTTATTCCACTCTCTTTTGAAAGTGATTTCTTGGTTTGCAAAAGTGAGATGAGCATGCAATTTCTTATAAATTGCTTGAATAAATCATGAGCAGGCACAGGGCTGTGTTTTTTTTTTTTTTTTGAAGCACAGGAGTATTCCAGGGTTTAAGACTTTGGCTATTATCCTAGATTTAAGCCCATTTTCAGTCATTTCCTTAGGCTGTGTATATATGCCCTTATAAATTCAAAATTCCAAATGACACAAGTATGTATCTGACAAAGTTCTTTTTGGAGCTTATGCCTATGAATATTACCGGAAATAGGATACTGATTGGAATCTCGATAATGAATGAAATGGGGTCATGGAGAAGCCGTTTTGAGTTGTGAGTTACCTGCCCTGCAAATTGCTTCAGAAGTGGAGAGTAAATGGAAATAGGCTTTTTAGTGGTGTGAATACGGATGGGCTCAAAGCCACTGCACAGGCATCTTGCTTGTTTTCTCTCATCCCTAGCATGTTATGGTATACTCAGGTGGGATGCATTTTGATTTAGAAAATGCAGTCCCTTATTCTAATAAACCTGCAGGTAATTTCACCAGGATGTTATAGACATTGGGCGTATTCCTCATTTAGCTTGCTCAAGGTAGAAACTTGCTTTGGAGCCTATTGGGGATAGTTGGATAGATTGCTTTAGAGTCAGAATATGATTGCCTCTTCAAGAATATGGCCAGATTCACCCAATTTGGTTTTTCCCTTTGCTTTCTGCCCTTGTCTTTTTATTTAATATTCTCTCACTTCTCTTCCGCTTCTCATATGTATGTTGTTACATGTAATCAACAATTCTTTTCTTGGTCTCAGTAGACTGCAGGGAGCAATAGGATCACCTTAATAACAGTAATGCAAACTTCCCTCATCTTCTCTTCCTCCTGATGAGGAACCAAGGAGGGTCTCATGAGGAGTTATAAGATGTCTGTTCCCTCTAGGCCCTCCTTCTCCTCTACAGGGTGGCCCTGCAGATGGTCTCCCTTCGCGCCCCATCTCTCCCGTCGCGGCCTCATGCACCGTGTGGTGGTCTGTGGTCAGTTGCTGCCTGTGGGGTTCTAAAGCGCAGCTGCCCTGCAGCCATGTGCCTCAGAGCTTGACTGAATAGCTGTTCCTATTCTTATTCTCAGCCACCCCCTCCTTCCCCAGGACTCAGGCAGACAAACAGGGCGGGCCGGACAGACTCAAGTGGCACCTGACCCGCTGACTCCACAATCGCTGTGTCAAGCTCCTCAAGCCTGGCTCCATCTTTGTCAAAGACGGGTTCCTGCAGGAGGCCCTCGGGTTTATGCAAGCAGGCTTTCAGTTGATTTGCCCCATCGTGATACCAAACCTGCCGAGAACTGTTTGGATCCCACTGCCAGTCAGGCTAACATCTGGATTTTCAGAGTCTTTTGATAAAAATAAGGGGGCCAGTGATAATTTAAAACAAAATACTAGTCTCAACCCACCCAACTGATTTCAAAACCAGTGGATTCATCTACAGCGTGAAGAGCCCTGCTTTAGAATTCAGTTGTCATGCAATAAAACGGATATGGGAGCTGCGAAAGTCTCACTGGGGGTTGTCTGGTGCATGTCTCTAGAAATTGATGATTTAAAAAATTTTCGAGTTTAGAGACTGCTTCACAGTTGTGGGATTTAAATATGATGCAACAATACCCCCAAAAGTAATCCTTTAGAAGACTTTTCTTCTTTTAAATCCACATCTACATAAATTCACTTCAGAGAAAAAATAAATCAATGGGCATTTCAGTGGTGACTCTCATCCAGGAATTGAGAGGCATAAAACAGCAGTAGCAGCAACAACTCATTAATCTTTGTACCTTTATGGCCACAGATAGTGACAAGGAAAACTTATGAGAAGAAAAGTGGTGGTTTGTGTAAACATGTCAGGTAATAGAAGCGAAGTAGAGTCAAAGCAGAAAGCAAGGCTTTGTGATGCATTATCTCAAGGAAAGCAGACCTGGGTCAAGTGTGGGGCACAGCTCAGTGTTACATTTTCAAACCGTATCTGAGTTTCTTTTGATGTCACATTAAGATATTTAGCTACTGGGAAGTGTTTGAAACTCATTCCCTGAGATAATTTTACTTAACAGTTATCAACTAAAATTGCTTTTTGTAGGACAAGGCCACGCGAGGTAGTGATGATGTTGGAGGAGCATCCCAAGCCTGTTAAAGGTCTGGGAACTCATCTTTGTCACAAGAAAGAACTCAGAGACAAAGAGCATTAAGCCAAGCAATAAGAAGCCTTTATTTAAAGTGAAAGTAACCACCACCCACTCAGACAGGAGTGTGGGCAACCTCAAAGGAGTGAGGAGACACAGAAAGTGTGCTAGGGTTTGGGTTTTTATAGGGCCTTTAAATATAGGTTGGTATGCATGTGATTAATATTTGCTTTGAGGTTTTGTCTTAAAAATAGTGTTGTCTAGATGACTGATGATTTGTATCTTGGCATTTTTTATTCATC